TATAAGAAAATTTTATTCTTTCTATTAAGACGAATGAACTTTTTTTATAAATGTTAAATTGTATTAAAAATGATTTAAAAATTAAATATACTTTTTTTTTGCTGATCATAAAGAGGAAGCAAAATGTTCATGTAATGAACATCTGATTTAACAACTTGTTTATTTAAACGAAAGTAGAGTATCAGGTTTTTAATTTCTCATTAACTCTTATCCTAAGAACTCGTTTTCTATTTTGCTAAAAGAATTGTTTACTATATTTCTCTCTAAATCTGAATTAGTAAGATTCTACAAATTCTTAGTAAAATATTACTAATTGAAATGGGGAAAAGTCGTCCACCTAGAATTAGTAGAAAACTACTGATTCAAATAGTCATTACGTCATTACTAATTGAATTAGTAAAAGGATAAATGCAAAAGGTGCAGGTTTGCGCATGCGCATATTTAGACGCCATTAGTTCTTACTAAATGAATTAGTAAAATATTTATTCTTAGAAATTTTAACCAATATTTAGAATTAAGTATTTTTAAAGACACATTATTAATTTACACAAAGAAAATAAAGAATAAATAGATAAAATTAAATATTAAACGAAAATTTAGTTCATTTTAAAATAGATTAAAAAATTATCACAATTACACACAGACAACACTATCAAAATTGTATTATTAGCACTTCCAGAGTTTTTTAAGAAATAAAAATTTCTCTAAATATCACCAAAATCTAAACGATCTTAGCAGATCTATCTATCTTCTGCGTCACATAGCCACTTTACTAATTGCATAAGTAAAAACTACTTATTCAAATAGTGAAAATTCTTACTAATTTGAATTAGTTATACCCAGGCGCGAAGTGACGCCGAGTTCAGGCTTTATAAAGATTGGCCGAGCATTGGTAAACATTGATTGAGCATGAGTGAATCAGCGAGAGCAGGACTGATCGAAGCTTTAATGTAACACCGATTCCAGACTGCAGCGCGAGCCTTGATTCAGCATTGAACACCAATGCTCAATCAATGCTGCGGACGCCTAATGCAGGACTGAAACAAGACTGCTTCCACTGTTCCCAAATTTACTCGTTTCTCACGTTTATTCAATATAATGTGAATATATGAATTATTAATAATAATAATAAAAAATATTATTGTTATTATTTTAATTCATGTATGTGTGTATATATACATTTAATGACAATAAGTTATTATTTTCATATAAATAAGAATATATTACTAACAATAAATATCATTTGAATAGTAATTTTAAAAAAATAATTTTAGTAAAAAAAGACAATTTTTCTGTTAATCGTTACATTTTTTTCTTGATTTTTAACAGACTTTTAACATTATTTATAAACATGTTCACATTTTTTATTCACGACACAACACACAATTTTATTATTTTATATAAACGCTTATAACAAAGAATGAAAAATATTTGCTCGCATGTGGGATCGAAATTCACGCACCCCGTCCCTAACGCATACCGGAAGTTCTCAACGCACGCATTTAAACCGCTCGGCCACAGAAGGCTGGAAGGCTTCTCGCCTAATCTACTATATCAATGCCAGTGCCGTCACTCAACATGGGACACCAATGTTCGTCCCATACTCGTTTCAAGTCTCAGTAATCTTGTTACAATATTCAGTTCCTTTATTGCCGTGTGCACTGTACAATATTAAATATAAATATTTATAAATTATTTAATATTAAAATATTTTTTCTGATAATTTTATAAGTTAAATTATATATTATTTTTTTTCTCGCACAGTGTCAAATTATTATTTTCAAATTCAAGAGTTTCGTTTATCTGAAAAATTTTCAGTGAAAAAAATGTTCATTAGGTAGTAATAAATATTTATGCCTAGTAGTTTTACACTAGGATTAACTGTTTACTGAATATTATCAAAAATATATTTTTCGTCAAACGCGCGCGACTAAACACAAATACCACCATCCCATCTACTCAATGCTTTCCCCTCATGACGTCACAGGCGGGGAGTGTATTGAGTAGATGGGATGGTGGGAGCACGACAATCGCAACGTCACGCTGTAAAGTCTCAAGGTTATTTGTGTTTAGTCGCGCGCGTTTGACGACAAATATATTTTTGATAATATTCAGTAAACAGTTAAACCTAGTGTAAAACTACTAGGCATAAATATTTATTACTACCTAATGAACATTTTTTTCACTGAAAATTTTTCAGATAAACGAAACTCTTGAACTTTGAAATAATAATTTGACACTGTGCAAGAAAAAAAAATAATATATAAAAATTTAACTTTATTGATATGAATCTTATATAATTAATATAAATATTATACACTAAATAAATATTAATATTTATTTACCAATTGATATCTTAATAATAATAATAATACTTATTATATTATTTAATAATAATTAATAATAAGAATAATAATTTTTAAATAGTATAAAAAATTACTAAAAAATATCAGAAATAATATTTTAATATTAAATAATTTATAAATATTTATATCTAATTTATATCTAATACTGTTAAGTGCACACGGTAATAAATAAACTATCAAGATTGATTCAAGCTTGAATAAAGACTGGATGTTGAAGCTCCACTCACGAAGATTGACCGAGTGTTAAATCGAGCATGGGACGAACATTGGTGTCCCATGCTGAACCAATATTGAGTGACAATGATATAAAGACTGCTTCAACTCTGGGTTACCCACGCTGGGCGTTCAAGACTCAGTCAAGTTTCAACCCATCGTCAGCACTGGTCTTTCGCGCCTGGGTAGGCATTGCATAGGAATTCTACTAATTCATTAGTAAAATATTAACCTACTAATTGAAAAGGTAAAATTTCTACTAATTCAGATTTAGAGAATTCTGTATTTATTTAAAATAATCATTTTATTTTATCTCCGAACAATTTTAAGGTTTTTTTAATAGAAAACTAAAAAATATAGTAGTATAAGTTTTACTGTATATGTGTGAAAACAATATAAGTATTTAAAGAAATTAAAATAATAGTGAAGAAATAAGCAGACCGAAGGAGCTGTATAAATCTCTGTAACCACGTGACCAGAATTTGAATTTCCTTTAATGCCGTTTAAGGGAATCATTAGTTTCGAATTTAATGCCCTTTAATACCTTCAAACAACTGTAGCCTTTAATGACATTGAATTCGTTTTATACGTTGCTTAATAAAGAAAAATGAATGCCAACTAATTCCTTTTAAAAAAGACTTCATTTTAATTTTCCAAAATACATCATAAATTTCTTATTTTTCCATTTCTGCGCGTTCGTGAAATGTGTAATTATTTATCACTTAAGAAAATATTAATGTTTAAAAAACATTTAAAAAATTATTTTGAACAATATTTGATACGATTGTCTAAAAAATATACATCTAAAATAAAATTGCTTTAATTATTTCCTACCAAAAAAAAGCATGAAGGCATGGGCAAGATCGAATATCGAAAATATCGAAGAGAACTCGCAGCGCGATTAGGAAAAAAGGCATTGGAGAAAGGCATACTCATAAGCAAAGTGCATGTTGCAGATGGAGCTGCGATTGTCCAATTGTTGGCGCTAAATTTTAAAATGTTGATAGCCTTTTTTGAAATTGATAAAAAATAAATATTTATTTTTATTCATTTTTTAATTAAAAGTAATTAAGAAATTTAAATAAACAAAAAACTTTTTTTAATATTATTAATAACAATGAACATACATTCTAATTCAGCATCAGATAATTAAAACTAGACAAATGGTATATATTTATCAATTTATGTTTATTAAAAAAGAAATTAGAATAAATAAATTGAAATCAATATTATTGAAAATAATAAATAATTATTAATAATAGTAACAAAGAATATAATTATAATAGGGCAGGAGTTTAAATCTTATATTTAAATGTAATGAAATTAAAGTTATTAGAATTAATTCAAAATTAGGTAGCAAACTAAATTTAGAAATGGCGTAGAACAGTTAAAGATAATTCCCTATTTAATGCTTAGCGTTCGCCAGTTTCTAAATGCATAAATTATTTTGGCCGCAGAAACTGACGCGCAGCAATTGACACTGCGCGCAGGATTAGATGCTTTTGATATTATTTTTAATTATTTAAATTTAATTAAATTCTAGAATTTTATAGGCTATTAATTTTTGCAAAAATTTCTTAAGAATACAAACAATTAGTTTAATAAATTTTAAGTTTAATTCCTTTGCTATAAATATTTTTTTTCTATGCAAAAGATATCTTGTCTGGAATACAGCAGGAACTAGTACACTTACCCTATTAAACTATTATAATTATCTTGTAGGCTATTTAAAAATACATTGATTAACACAAAATTTAATCACTTTTACCATATTTATGAAAAGTTATTCATATACTTCTATTATTATTATTATTATTATTATTATTATCTTTGTGAGGAAGCAAAGTGTTCATGAAATGAGCACCAAAATTATAATAAAAATATACAACTTGGCAGCGGTTTTTATTTTTCAATTATTATTTAGAAATATACAATTATTATTTATTATTATACAATTGTTTCTGTAACAATTATATTGTATATTTTACTCGAATAAAAACAATTTTTTTTAATAATTAATAACTTTACAATTATTACAGTAACAATTATATTAAATATATTTGATTTGAAGCAAAAGAAAAATAATTGTTCTGAATGCGTCCTCGAAGTCGGCGTCAATAATTATCTTCGTAAACAATTATTTGGGGTTTCTGGAGCTGAAAATATCACTTTCATATTCACCTAGGGACAATTAAAAAACATTTTCAATTCATTTATTACAACTTAAATCCTTGTAAAAAAAAGTTTTAATTTTACAGTTTTTGCAGGAAAAACGATACTTTACTGAATTTTATAATCAAAATAATTGATAGCTTCCTCTACCCCAGTCACATTTTTTAAAATAAATTTTGAATAACTTAGAAATTGCAGAACAAGAAATCTTGCATTAAAGAAAGAAAAAGAAAGCTTGTCGTAAGATTATTGCAAGGATTCCTACTATCTGGATAACAATTGAAGAACTTAAATTTAAGATTTTAACGGTGTTAGGGTCACCCAAAAACCACCTTTTGCCGAATTTATAAAAATGCTCTCATCTCTTTTGATTGGATAGATCATTTTTGGGGAAACAGCCACTTGAAAGTCTTTGAAAATCGTGAAAACGGACACTTTTATGAGAATAAGAGCCAATCTCATTCCAACACACACTCGCGGTCCTTCGCCAAATGGAAGAAAAACAAATTTATTCCTCTTACTTTTCTCACTATCATCGAATCTTTCAGGATCAAACTTTTTTGGTTCGTACCAATATTTCGGATCCATTTGAAAACCATAGGAAGAAACAGCAACCGTTTGTCCCGGTTCAACAACACACGATAAACCATCAAAACCCTCAAGTTTCGTTCGTTTTGTACAAATTTTGAAGAATGTTCCTACAATATGATGCATCCTCTGCGATTCGGATAAGACTTTTTCCAAGTATGTCATTTCTTGCAAAGAATCATAAGTAATTTCCCCATTATATTTTTTGTCTAATTCTTGAATTTCCTGACGAACTTTCTGTTGAATTTCAGGATGAGCGGCTATTTCGGTTATTAGAAAACTCATTGTTATTGCTGACGTTTCGTAAACATCGGCTGCAAACGACAACATATGCGCTGCAGCAAGTGTCTCTTGATTCATGTTCGTACAATACTTTTTTTGAAAATCGAGAACAATTTGCATAAAATCGTTATAAGTTTCCTTCTCCCTTTGTCTATTCGCAATAATGTTCTTTGCAATTTGTCGAAAATACTGATCGACCTCGGATGGTATAATTGAGAGTTTCAAAAACTTCGCCAATGATGGCATGAAAAACATTAAAGTCTGACTTATTCCCGTACCTAATGATGGATTTTCAAAAATCATGTTCATAATCTGATTGTACGTCATCTCACCATTTTTCGGTTTCAATTCCTCTTGGAAATTATGAGCCTCGATACCCATTCCAGTCGATGATATTTCACCCATAAATTTATGACAGAGCTTCTTAAGATCCATTTCCTTTTCTGATTTACATTCCGTGTGTAAGTATTTGGACATTTTTGTCGATACATTCAAAACAAGGGACATTAGGATTTTTAATTTCTTACTTGAGAAACTATTTGTCAGTGGTGCACGTGCTTGTTTCCATTTTTCTCCAGTCACGAAAAAGGGATTCAAACTCAAAAGTTTGTCCTTTTCGGGACAATTTAATTGCAGGGGATTTTTACTGAATGAGGAGAAATTTGTTAGAAGAATATTCTTGACGATTTCGGGGTCACGGATAAGGAGTAGTGGAGAGAAGAGACAATAATAGCCGAACATGCTGTAATTTTTTCCTGACTTGTAGAGATCTTCCAACAAGGTTCCCATACTTTTTTGTGTCGTAAACACTGGTAGCATGTGTCCTAATACTGGAATTGACCCTTTCGCCGAGGGTATTCCTTGTTTTTGCCAAAAATTGTACTGCCATGATAGATACAAAAACCGCTGCCAAGTTGCATTTTTTTTTTTGTATAATTTTGGTGCTCATTTCATGAACACTTTACATCCTCATAGAGATAAAAATAATAGAAATATACAAATAACTTTTTATAAATATGGTAAAAGTGATTGAATTTTGGGTCAATCAATTTATTTTTAAATACCCTACAAGATAGTTACAATAATTTAATAGTTAAACAAAAATTTTCAAACAAAAAAGTTGAGAAAATGTCATTTTCCACAATTTTTGGATTTTAAAATACCAATAATTTAGAAATTTATTATCGAATTAGGTTCAAAAATAGGTCAATCGAAGCGTTTTTTAATGCTCTACAAGTTGATAATGATAATTTTAAAGTTACTTCAATGTTTTTCAACAAAATTTTCAAAAAAGTCTTATTTTCCAAAATTTTTGATTTTTAAAAGTTTAATAACTCCGGTTAATATGGACGAAAAATTTTCAATTAGGGCTCAAAAGATGCGTTTAAAAAAACTCTACAAAATTATGAAAAAACATTTATAGGTGTCCTAACATTTTTTTAAAGTTATGGGCAAAAAACGTTTTTTTGGAAAATTAAAAATCAAAAAAAAATTTAGTTAAACTTTATTAATATATCAGAAAGTACTCTCGCTTTATGTCCGCAGGTGAGATCTACAATTTAAAAAAAAATCCAGCCCAAAAGCTCTTCATGATTTCGAGATATTTATGAAAATGTGATGTTTACACACACACACACACACACACATACGGAATGACATTTTATAAAAATGTCATTTTTGAACTTCTGAGGTCAAATAACATAAAGATATGTCAAAAAATCGAACTCAAAAAATTTCGGTATTACAATACTTCCTCTATGAGGAAGTAATAGATGACAATTAGAACAAGCACAATTGCAACAAGAATCGAGGTAAGTTCCATTCTGAACAACAGTTCCTTTTATCGCTCAATTATGGTACAGCTAATATGTACACTGTCCACTCCGCTAGATCACGTCACTAAATTTCTGCACAGAAAAAATGTGTGTTAAATTAGTTGCGTGTAGTTTTCAGATGGTGTTGTTTTAACATAATTTTGGTGTTATTTGAACCCCATTAAAAACGTATATTAATTTAACACCCTCTAGTGTTGCGTGTTGTTTTAAAACTACTTTTAGTGTTAAAATAACACTTCTTTTTTCCTGTGTGGATGTCGCTTTTTAAAAAAAAATTGACTGTGTTATTAAGTGCGAAGACTTTGTAATAAAGAATTTTTTATTCATTTGAGGTAAGATGTTAAAGACAAATGTCTCTATTCTCATTTGATAACTCCATATATAATAATGGACTTATCTTAATCCTCCGTTACATACCTTAGAAATAATTACACCATTACACACGATTAGAGGGAATCCCTCACCACATTGTAAAATAAGCGGCATTACAACAAAGACGAAGGAATCAACAAAAATTTAGTTTTAACACAAACTTACAAACATGTAGTAAATTATTCCAAATCATAATAATTAATAAAATTAATCTTTGATCTCAAAAATATAAATTAATTACACGAATGCACATCTTCGAAGGAATTCCACTTTACATGTAAAAGTAATATAAGATTAACAAATAAGCAAAAAAAATCATTAAATAATTCATTTTAATTATATATTTATAATCTAATTTTGTCATTAACCAACAGTGGGACAAAAAATGTTTTAAAAACTTGATTTTTTTACTTAAAATTTCCTCACTTTTTCGAGATTTTTTAACTTTAAAGCCACATAATTGAAGATTAATTAGGGGAGAGTGGGGCAAAATGGGGTACCTTTTTGAAATTGGCTGTTTACAGAGAACCAAACGAATAAATCGATTCAGCTAAACTTCAGAATTCTTCTTTGTACACTTAGCTTTGAGGAAATTATGATTATAGCGGAGAAAAAAATTTTTGAAAGAACTTATATCGTATTTTCTAAGAAAGTGCTAAAATCCCATTTTGCCCCACCCGTGGGGCAAAATGGGGTGGCATCAAATAACTATACAAAACATGGAATATTTTTTCAAAATTCATTAAATTCTTGTTGTATGAGATTATAAATACAAACAAAAAGTAGGATTCTTTATTACTATGAAAAAACAAGTAATATTTATTAGAATTTAACAAAAAAAAACATGGATATTGCAAAATATCGATATATCGATAATGAAACATCGATAGTATAAATGCCTCAAAGCAAAAATATCGATTCTTCTGCAGGAAACCTTTAAATATGCATAATATAATGTTTTTAAATAGTTTTAATGAAACGGCGTAGCTTCCGGCATGCCCCACACTTAGGTACCCCATTCTGCCCCAGACTGCATATTAAAACAAAATGCAATGTTTACAAGTTATTGTAAACAATTAAACAATCTATTCTATTGAAAATTACTCTAGAATAAGTACTGAAAAAGATCCCACACTTGCCAAATTAAATGCATTATCCCAAAAAGTTTGGAGAGCACTTTAATTTTGAAAAAAATTCATATTTTTTTTGCTTAAAACTTAAAAGTTGTATAACTTTCAAAAAAAAAAATTTCTTTGGAGTGTCTTCATAATTAATAACAGTTTCTTATCAACATGAATGATATATGTCGAGGGAAAAAAAATTAAAAGTACCTATCATGGAAAAACAGAGGTACCCCATTTGACCCGCCTACCCCATTTTGCCCCACTCTCCCCTATGTTTAAACTAATTGTTTTTTAGAAATGTGTTGGGGAGGGAACTGTCCAAAGGTATAGAAACTGATTTTATTTTACAATGAGGAAAAAAAAAGTTATTTAAAAAATACTGAAACCGGGGAGGGAATCCCTCCCTAGGTATGATGGAGGGTTAATATCATTATGTAGACTTATCAAATGAGAATAGAGACTTTTGTCTTTAAAATCTTACATAAAATAAATTACTCGATCAAATAAGTCTAAGCGATAGAAAACATCTATTCACTGAAGTATTTTTTATTAAAATATTCCTGTTTAAACGAAAATAGAGCATCAAGTTTGTAAGGGTGGAATTTGCAATATAGAATTTTTTCAAAGAAAAATAAAACGTCACAAATTTACATCTCGACCCGTTACTCCGAAACTAACTTCACCACAACAAAATCTTCACAAATCTCATCGGGGAGTTCCTCTTCTCCAAGCTGCGATGTAAAAACAACTTTGTCAATGGACCATTCCTTTTTACACAAATGACCGTTGAGACGCTACCAAATTATAACGACTTTGGCACTCTCAACCGTTTACAGCACAAACAAAAAATAGAAATAAAACACTAAAAACTCTTAATTCATAAAAATAAAACCCATTTATTAATTAAACCAAATAAACTCTAAATTAAATAACAAAATATAAAATAAAATATCTTTAACAAAAATCTTGATAATTGACACTAGTCAAAAACCACGTCGCGACTACTTGAACCTCTGCAAGTAAGTGACAAGCAAGTGTAAATCCGATCTCCTCATCACCGGTTGGCTTCCTCATCATATTTTGCTTCTTCCTTTTTCCTATGGAAAATTGGGAAAAACCCTTCTTTCTTATCCCCACTGTACAGCACCTAAAATGGTCTTGGAAAGGGTCATTGGTCATGTGACGGTCTCTGGCAATTAATCATGCGCGAAATCATTTAAATTCAGATTTCACGAATGACACAGGTCTCGGGTTGCTGAACCAAGGACACACACAAGGGACTTGACAAGAAAACAAGACAAAACTATGATAAGAGAGAGAACGACGAACAACTTACTATAATGAAATTTACTTTTCCTACACACGACAGATTTGGAGAAATAAGTAACGATTCACCTCGTTACAATACCCCTCCCTAGGCGAATATTACTCTTAGTAATATTTGCCGATCAAAATTACACAATCAAACAGCAAATGATTAAATAGAATAATGAAAAGTAACAACAAAATCACAACTCTTTTCATCTCAAAAATAAATTCAACTCTCTCGACTACTAAACACAACTAAACTCTTCTCTACTATCAACCACTTCTCACAATTCAAACTCTTCTCCACTACCAACCACTACTTACAACTCAAAACTCTTCTCTACTACAAATCACTTCTCACAATTTAAACTCTTCTCTACTCTAAACCACTTCTCGTCTCTTGGTCAATTACTTAAAAACTCTGATTGTCTGGACGCTGATCGTAACACAAATTAAAAAAAAGGCAAATAATACTCAATATTCACACACACACTGTTAAAGAGTTGATTAATTCACTCGTAATTACTCTTATCAACACGATGATATTAGAGTGAAGGTCTCTACAACTCGAAAACTTTTCTTCAAAATTTCAACTCAACAACCACGACAACATAATTTGGTCATCACCCACACTGAGTTCTCCTCATGGTGATTGGAATTCTCCATAACGACCAAACTACAAAAAATTTCATCTCCCTCCCGCCTACTTGAAACAGCTAACAACCAAACTCAATAACCAAAATCCACGACACGCTGAACTTTCGGGGGAGGAGTATCAATCTTCCTATTCTTCATAAGTTCTTTCAGAACCGCTGGTCGAAAAATCCCATTTTTCTACTAAGCAAAAGAAAATCCCTTTCTTCATAAGTTCTCTCAGAACCGCTGGTCGAAAAATCCCATTTTTCTACTAAGCAAAAGAAAGGAAACTGATAATAAACCTCTCTCTTCAATAACCACTAAAATATAAGATTATTTAATTTTCTCAAAACACACCAAAATCGGAGAAAATAATTATAATCAAACCTCAAAAATTCAAAATTCAAACACAACAACTCACACAAAGGGAAAACTAGTCGTTGATCAAAGGAGGGTCCAGTCGCTGATCAAAGGTGGGTACGGTCGCTGATCTAAAGATTGTCGGTCTCAAATCAGGAAGGACTTCAACAAATTCTCATTAAAA